AGAGATATAAACGAGACTGGAAAAAATGGATTGACTATATACAAAATAAATATGGGACCAAAAAATTCCAGTTAGCCTATGTTTAAGGTTAGAAATGATTTAAATTGTTTAAAGTTAGCTCAGCAAGAAGAAGCTAAGATCACTGTAGAGATGTCATTAATTTCTTTATTTCCTTTTTCTCAATAGATTTTAGACTGTGTTTGTTAAAAATCCATACCGTGTACGGGTTCTGGGGAGGTTGGAGGAAGGGAGGAGTATACATTAGGCTAGACAAGAATTTGGTGGTAAACTAGAACTATTTTGACACACAAAAAAATTGTACTCCGATGTCTCACTGATTGAGGAATGATGAAATGTTTGTTTTAAAAGAAAATAAAACTTTTGAAACACACACACACACAAAAAAAAACCCTAAAGCTTATTTTAAACAAGCTATTACTTTGATGAATTATATAAAATCGCTAATGTGCTGGTATTACAATATATATATTTATAATCTGTTACAAACTTCTTCAGAACTAAGTATGCTTACCTAAAAGTTACTTCTAGCAAGAGAAACATTTACTGATTAGGAAGTCATATCTTGTAATTAATAGTTGCCTATTTCTTTTCCAATTATAAAAGTGTCATTCAAAGTAATATTTTGATTTATGCTGCCACCCAATCATATTCACAATGATAAATTTAGGGCTGCTGTGCAAGAATGGCATTTCCTGTTTCAAACAGACAATTTGAATTAAAACAGGATAGAAAATTAGATTAGTCTTAAATAACTGACTAATCAGTTAAATTTACAAGTATTTCTTTCTCCTCTGAAAATGTATATTCTAGTAGTTTGAAACTAAAGTACATGCCACAAATGTATCAGATTTGCCACTACAAAACATACATAGGAATGGTATTATTTTGTACACAATGTATGGTTGAAGACTATTGAATCACTGCCTTCTAATTAAACAGCAGTTGTGATAGTTACTTGAAATTTCTGCAAGAAAACAGTATGTTAAAGTGGAATTGTAAATTTATTCTGACCATGTTTCTTTCTTCAATATATAACAATTAAAGGCGATGTTGCTTGAGTAAATACTTCTAATACAAAGTATCCCCACTGAGAGTATACTAATAGAATAAATGTATTAAATGCATTGAAAATTACAAAATTTATATTCAAAATTATGAAAATATTTTTGTGATGGTGCTTCATCTATGGAATTACTTCGCTAGTGATGTGTAACTAATAGATTATATTTTTTGCATCAAGTCAAGATACTTCATTTATCCATGCAGTTTTAACTTATAAACTATGGCCGTTGCTGATTTTTGATTGCCTCTCATTTTTCATTATTATAATTTGATTAAAGATATCTAATATTTTTTAAATATGAAACATTGTACCTCTCCACCATGAACCCATATGTATACATATATTAAAAATAGTTTTCATATTAATTTTTAAAGAGTGCTATGAAGCACAGTTCCATATGTTAAATACAATTTTATGACAATGACTAATGTTCTCTCAAATATATTTATTTGGTATATTCATTATCCACTAATATTCTGAAATCAGAAAGGTCAAGTTTGATTTATGGTCAACAACTGAATAAAATTATCATTTCTATATTTATATTTATATCTCCATCCATCCCCCAAAATGCACAAGCTAAGGATGTTACTCTTTAAAATTAAACTGAACATTCAGATAAGGGCCAGCTCTTTCCAATCCCTTTCTGGATGCAGTTCTGACTTTTTTTTGCTAGTGGAAGATATATCTAAAATATAAAATTAAAGCAAATCTAGAAAACCAACTTATTGCATAGTAAGTAAAATTGTACTGAACAAGTTCATCATCAACACACATAATCTTCAATAAAGCATAACTGGAACCCAATATTTTGGGGAATTTTCATTCTCTCTCCAACTTTCCTATTTTAGGAAAAGTTGTTAAAAAGTAAGTCATAGTGCAACTTCATAGAATTCTGCTATAAGCTGCTTATTTGGACCTCATTTAATTGAGCTTTAGGCTTAGCATAGGACTGAAACAGCATTGACTGAACTTCTGGTAGGAGCAGGATGGAGATAGTATGTTCATACTGGTTCTCCTTGATCTCTCAGTGACTTTCAAGTTAGGGACATAATCTTGGTTTTCCTCCTTTCTTCTTCAGTCAGTGTTGATGGGGAGGAGAGATAGAACTCACACACCATTTTGTGAGGTTTCGCAGAGTTCACCACTGCCTCTACTCTCTTTTATATCTACACAAAGCCTAGGCGAGGTCATTTGATAGCACAATAGAGGTATCATTAGTCTGCTGCTGATATTCACTCATGTATCCCTGGTTCAAGTCAGCCAAGTGATGCTATGTTCTTTTGCAGTATCTGGGCCTGTGTGGTGTGGATGGGGACGTTCAACTCATGCAAGCCCAAGTGGTTGTGAATTGAGGCCCTCCTGGATCTGGTGAACTTCTATCTTTAATTTTAGATGGGATTGCATAGTCTCAGACCGAACCAGTGCACATCTGGTGAGTCCTCCTGGACTCATGAATCCTATTCAAGAAATAGATGGCAGCTATGGCCAGGGAGACATTTGCACAACTCCATTGTGTACCAATTTTGCCCATTTGTGAATCTGAAGGCACTGTGCATGGTCACCCATGCATTGGTCACCTCCCAACTAGAATATCACAATACGATCTACCTGAAACAGCTCCTGAAGTACATTCAGAAGCTGAAATTGATCCAGAATGCAGCATCAAGAGCAACTATGGACATACCACGGTATGCTCATGTTACAGTTTTCCTTTACAAGTTGCATTGGATGCCAACAAGCTTTCATGTTCAATTCAAATAATTTGGTTCTACAGTGCACCTTTCTGCCATAAGACCAGGTTATTTGAAGAACTGCCTTTCTCCAATTGTTTCCACCCATACTATCTATTAAAGAATATTTATTTGGCCAGACTCAGGAAGTGTGCTGTTCTATATCAATGTCTGATCTGTGAAACACCATTTCTCCTGAGATTAGATTAGCTTCAACCCTTCTGAGCTTTTCCTAAGCCCTTTAAGATCTAGCTTCTCTTTCTGGGAAGAGAAAAGTTGGAGTTTAGGAAAGATTTGAACTAGGAAGTATTTGAACCTGTGAGTTAAATGAATTTCTTGTTGACTGGGTTGTTCTTGGCTGACGTTTTTAAAATATGTCTTATTTATATATTCTGTTACTATATTGTATACTAGATTGTATTGTATACAATATTTATATTGTGTTAGCCATCCAGAGCTGCTCAGATCAGATGGCAGTCATATTAATCTAATAAATTAAATAAAAAATAGACAAAAAGTAAAGTGCAAAATAATGCTCACGTACTCACGGAAGACATAACTCTTTTTGAGTATCCAACTTCGTTTATTTTCCAGTAAAATAAAAAAATATCAAGGTTGATTAACAACTAAATGCCAACTTGTAGGATGGCATAATACAGTTAAAACACATAATACATCTAACCAAATCCCTAATGGAACAGATCAGCTTTGCAGTTAATCTAACAAAATATACACTTATTACAAAATTTAGGGCCACAGTTTAAAAGTAAAGCAATTGAACTCACAAAATGACAGCGAAATATACTCACATGTAAGGAAGAAGGATCAGGTAAAAATTCAGCATCTTCTCCAAAGATAAAGTCAGGTGGCAACTCAGGATAGTGGGCATTAAAAATTATATCCCCTTAAAACAAGCAGACAGCAAAAAAATAATAATTTACCTACTGTCCCAGAAGAAGGTAAAACACTGACTTTGATCATTACACTAACATTGTTAATGGTTTCCACTTCTCCAGTACTGAAGCCATGAATATTAACCAGAGTTTATTTGGGCAAATATTAAACAATGGCTAATATAAAATAGCAGGCAAAAGCTTCTGAACTGATCATAAGTATGCCAGACATTTAGAGATGAAGCATGTATGCCTAAAGTGTTTTACGGCTTAATCTTCTACTGCTAAAATCAGATCACTTTGAAAAAGAATAACATTTTAACACCTTTAAAAAAATCAGCCATTATTGGAGAGCAACCATTACAGTTGGTAGAAGGCTGAAGTGGATAATTAGCCTAGACTGCTATATAAATACAGGAGGGCTAGGTCTGACCCTCCCCACAAATGCCTTTGAGCATTATCTAGTCTTTCTCAGTCAAAAGCTAGACTCAAAAGGAGATTCCCGTATTATAGGCATAGAACAAAAAAGTAGCTAGCTTGAACTCTGTACATGTTGGTCCGGTTGTTTGCACCATTCCATCTTTATCAAAAAGATCTTCCACAATTGGTAAAAATTAAGTTAAAGGATTCTCATATATGAAGTTTATATTGGTGAAACTATATTTGCATTTAATATGAAATACCCATTTATTTACAAGATTAAGTACACAGGTTTGTTTAGAAAATCTTTTTGAAAGCAGCTATTTGCCCAGAATGCATTCTGAATTAATGCAGTGTTTTAAGACAATTTTTTTTATTTAAAAATTGCTTTCCAGAATATGTAAATTGAATCTCAATGGTGGTAAACTATGGTTTATTCAGGAACTAGGCAATCATGCTTTATTCAAGAATTATGGTTGATATAATACATTCAGCTACCATTCCTGATTTGTCTCCAACTACTATAATTTTGCACTGTAAAACTCTTTGCAGAATACCTGCTTTAATCATTTTTCAAGCCCTTGCTTCATATTCATACTACCTTCATCACAAAAAAAAATCAATGTTTCACCTATTCTGCCAAAATATATGCTGGTATTTTCCCTTTCAAAGTAAAGTAAATGCTATACTTGCTTGAGAAAGATTTGAAAGTGATGCTTCAGAAGGGATAGGAATGGAAGTGCCTCTTTAAAAAAGCCTTCTGTGGGCTTCTACATGTCTCTGAAGAATTACATGGCTGCTTCAATGAGTTAACTCATTAAAATAGCTGCATCTTTAACACAAACAAGCAGCAACATAATTTTCAGATTCATGTGGAAGCCTGAAAAAAGGTATGGTTATTTTAAAGATATGCTACTTTCCAATTAACCCTTTTCAAATCATTTTAAAGGCATACATACCCAACCAATTAGTATTTAATTTCAGTAACTGTTACAATTTATTGTAACAAACTATTGAAATTCTAATCTTCTGATGGACTTCAGAAGAGAAGTTATGCTTCAAAATACTTTATCTGAATTTGCAGCATGACAGCTGTTATGACTGATATTCTGCAAAAAAAACCAACCCAAAATTCTTCTCTTACAAAGAGGATGTACTAGTACCCACAAAGGAAGCATGCCCTCCTGCTGAGAAACAAATCATGGGGACATTTTCTTATTGCAACATTTCTAATGGCCTTCCTTCATTAAACTCTCCTGTTGTTAAAAGATAACAACCATACATCAAGGAACAGGATGTCTGAAGTTCCTGTACAAAGCTGTCTTTCAATGGCTGTTTCACCTACGGCCATTATGAAATGTCTGCCGATAAAACAGACATTTTCCTCTAAGCACCTTTTTCGCTATTAATTAGGAACTATACTATTTCTGCTTGTACAGAGTTTTAAAAATATATTGTTCTGCCCAGAACTTGACAAAAAAACATTTTTGGTGTTTGTAATACAGATATGCATATTCATAAAGGCAGAGCTCTAAGGAATGTCACAAATTATGCCTCCATATTAGAATTTTTCATTTTAACTTCATTCTAAGATGTAGATTAGCCAGCAATTTACAACGTATCACCCAAACAATGATATGAATGTAAAAGGGTCCCCTTTTCCCCCTCCTATATTAACCAAGCTCTTGTTTTTGATCATATTATTTTCAAATTTAATTTTTTTAAGTTAATATGAAGGAATGTAGAAAAATCTCGTAAAAGTAAAAAAAACAGGGAATACATGAAATTTACATTGTCATTATGCAAATGACTGTTTGTATCAGTGAGCAAATGACACAAATGGCAATATTTGCCTTGTCTGCATAACAATGTCACTGCAAGTGATATACTCTGATTTAAATGAGAAACAGGAATTACAGAATCCATTCATCTCAAATGGAAATTGAGATTTCACAAGTGTGTGTGTGTGTGTTTTAAGAATTTCCTTGCCAGCCTAACTACTTTGGAATAGCAGCTTGCCAGCTCAACGGTTGTGCCACTTTGTGACTCATGCACATTTAGCAATCTGATCAAAAATTCCTTGAGATTTACATTGAAATGCAGTTTAGAACTTTTAATAAACGGTTCACCATAGAAGGTAGAAAAGATGAGGTACACTCATCTTCCTATCTGCTTTCTCTGAAGCGCTATGTATTCTTTTCAAAATATTTAAATATATTGTACTCTCCAAAGAATATAAAATATAAGAGTAGAACCGTGCCCTAAAGCATGCTCCTCAAAAGTTTATTAATTCATTTATTTATTTCAATCACCAAATAACTCTGGGTGGCTTGACATACTAGGATTAAATTTTTTAACTAGCCATATCATTCTTGGGTGCTTGATTTGACTTGCAACTATGTAACAAAATGGTAAATTATCACCAACTCCTTTCTATTACTCCTGTGTAATAGAACCTTTTCAGAAAAAATTAAGATATGAACTATTGCAAGGTTTCCTAATTTTTTGAGTGCTCATCTTCTAACATTTCATGTAAAAACATGTAAAAATCTCAAGTGAGTTCTAGCCATCCTCCATATGCTTTATGTAAAACACTCTAATATACCTTTGTACCAAATTAAGTGTTTTAGTAGATACTATATCTCAGGTCTCCAATCCCTGAGCAAGTGAAGATTCATTTGAGCATGCATGTGGTCTAGGTTGTACGTCTGGTCTGTGGAAAAACTGTCTTCCTTAAAACTGGTCCCTGGTGGCAGAAAGGTTGGGGACTGTTGCTATATCTGATGGTACTGTAAAATATTGTATTGTTAAAAAAATATGTATTTCAAAAACAAGTACAGGTTTAGTCACTGTAAAAATGCAGCATAAGGAAATTAATTTAAAGAACTGTTAACCAAATCTGCAACAGATCTACCTACCTACCTACCTACCTACCTACCTACCTACCTACCTACCTACCTACCTATCTTCACCACTGATTCAATTAGTTATCCTTATAGTTTATGGATAATTCACTGTATCCTTATTGGTTTTCTCCTAATGTCTTAATTAAATTTTCTTAATTTTATTATCAGGCTGATATAATCCTGTGAATATAAGTGATGAACTTTTATCAAATGACTCACACAGAAGCTACTTTCCATTATATCTATTGGAATGGAAATAAGAAACACAGATATCTTTATTAAAAATAAATATATTGATGATTTCCCTTTTCTAAAACAAGGTCAAGAGATTAAAGAAGAGGGTACAGCTGCTCTATAGTAGTAGTTGAGTGGGGAGATTACAGTATTACCACATGCACCGTTCCTGCATATGTATATAAAAAAACTTATTAAACAAAAAGAGCCTAAAGTTTGTGCAGAAAGAAGCAGCATACAAATGCAGAACTTTAATTGCTAAACAAATAGCAAAATATAGGCAGATCTGTTTTAGATTTTGGAACCCTACTCGGTCAAACAGAGACTAGATTCACATATAATGCTAAGCCATGGCTTGCTTAAGCATACCTTACTCAATAAAGTTCTGTGTTCATATCACATGCTAAGATAAAATGAAATATACTGTATTTTTCGGAGTATAAGACTCACTGGAGTATAAGACACACCAAGGTTTTGAAGAGGCAAATTTTAAAAAAAGTAGATAGGTAGATAAAGGGATAGAGAGAGAGAGAAATAGAGATAGATAGAGAAATACAGTAGGTAGGTAGTGAGAGACTGTGTAGGTAGGTAGGTAGATAGAGGGATAAAAAGAAATAGAAAGAGAGAGAGAGAGAGATACAGTAGATAGGTAGGGAGAGAGAGTAGGTAGGGAGAGAGATAGAGGGAGAGAGAGAAATACAGTAGGTAGGTAGGTAGGTAGGTAGGTAGGTAGGTAGGTAGGTAGAGGGAGGGAGGGAGGGAGGGAGAGAGAGAGAGAGAAATACAGTAGGTAGGGAGGGAGAGAGAGGGTTTGTAGGTAGGTAGGTAGATGTTTCCAGGTGTATTTATCCATGTGCTGGAGAAGGAAATCGCTGACAACCTGTAGCACCTAAGACTTGTTTCTGCTGGCACAGCATTTGATCCATGTAATTCTCATCAATCAGTTAAAGAGCTTTCCAAAAGGACAAAAAAAAGTTTTTGCACTTTGCAAACCTCCCGAAAATGG